TTTCTGTGATTATTCAGAGAAGAAAAGCACTATCAACACCGTATGCTACTCAGACAAGATTGAGAAAAATCCAAGCCCGCACTGAACAGGAAATATCCAGGATGGGAGAAGCAATGTCTGCTTCTATTTCAAGCCAACGTTCGACTTTATGCGGCACATCAGACCCTGGAAACTTACGGGCGAAATGGATTGGGAACCCCTATCACATCGTCCTGATAGCCCGGACATTGCCCATTCAGATAGTTATCTGTTTGGTCAGATAGTATCATGGTCAACGACAACGAAGAGTTAAAGAAAAAAGTGCAAAAATGACTTAGTGATCAAAGTATAGAATTCTTTTCTGAGAGGATAAGAAGACTCGTAAGAAAATGGTAAAAGTTCAGAGCAGTCGATAAGCATTACGTGGAAAAGTAGACAAATAATTATATCGATTTACACCAACGTTTTTGCTGTACAGCAATTTTTTGCTTCAGTATTGAATGATGTCCCGTAACTTTTAGGCTCTCCAACACTAATTGATATGTTTAAGAATTGTAGGTGATAGTATGAGCTTCTACTTTGTTACCACGTAGTAAATTAACATAGTAAATTTCTATATTTTTTCACAATATGCGACCTGAAAATAGCTGAATAAAATCAGCATAGAATCTTGTAGTAAATTTTTACTTCGAATACGTGGTCGAAAGAAGTAGCGTGTTTCAGCGCAGAAGTTGAGTTGGAAATGGGGCATCAAGTAGAGAGGAAATTATAATGTGAATCGAAGTAACTGGAGAGGTAAGTCGGATGGTGAGGTAAAATCAGGATGGACGATGTATAACCTAAGGTGGGAAAATTGGGTTTTCCGTAGGAGACTTCAGTTTCGGGAGCTCGCTACCGAGTCGTTTTCTAGCAAGATTCATGCAGCGAGGTTCGGCTGAAGTGGTTCGCTGACAGGAAATTAAGTTCATGGAGTGTGTTATTAGTGTCTCTCAGTTGCAATTCAGTTGGTTTACGTGCTTTATCTCGCTGCATTGTGTTGGCCTCTTGTAGCAGAAGGGCTGAATCAAGACTACTTTGTTAGTGTTGGCATACTGTAATTTGTTTATTTATTGTTCCAGGGACGGACATCAAGACCCACGCAGCCAATAGTGTTGGTCTCTTCTTTTTAGTAAGTGAACAAAAAAATGAACAAAATATTTAATATTGAGTATAAGAATATAAAAAATTATTGCACAAAATGAGCGTTTTATTACGTTAGCATTATGTGACTGTATAGATGTAAATAGTAACTTGAATATATTTTTAGTAATGTTAAAAACCCGTATATTGAATACATACTAAAAATTGCAAATTTATTCAATTAAAACTCAAAATAACGTCGGTGGTCGTTCAACAAATTCGTACATTGAAGTTCAAATTCGAACAAGAAGCTTTTTAACGCTCTTCTTCTCCCTTTCTTAGAATTTGGTGACCAAATCGCCCACCCTCTCACGGGCACATACAAATCAACGCTCATTGGGCTATACAGGTATTGAAATCTAATTCAAGACCATATCGTTGTTCCCAAAGGGTCTCGCCCCGCCCCTTCTCCCCCAAAGCTCAACTCAGGCTCGCTGAGTATTGTACAAGAACCTATGGCCTTTCCTCAAATCTGTTTATTTAGTGAAAAATCAGTAGAAACTGTATGTGACGGATAGGGAAGCAAATCAACTGCGCACGTTTTCTTGAGTTCCAGAACGCCTTCCCAACATTTGAACTATAAATAATTAAATTATAAATATTTTTTAATAATGGATTTGAGAAAGCGTGAGATTAGCAACATTTAGTAGAAACTAGACATTTTCGTTCTCGAGCTATAGAAAACTTATTTGCATCAGCAAACGAACTCCAGGATTACTTCCCCTGCATTGCCAACAAAATAGCAATTCAATAGCATCTTCACTTCTACCACTACCACCACTTCAAGAAAAAGGAAAGTTCAACAAAACGTGCGCATAGTGAAGATACATTTAAGTCCAGAAGCAAAACAAGGGGCCACCTCAGCATTTGCTCAATGGATCACAGAAACTGAAGAAGAAAAATAAGAAAAAAAAACAACTGATCGAAATGGGGGTCATTGACTCGAATGCTGAAGAACATTACTTGTTACAGGCACATTAAGCCCTTTTACTTTCCCGTATATGTATGTATATATATATATATATATATATATATATATATATATATATAAACTTCAGCGGATATACGCGTTTTGGGGTCCCCGATACCGGAAAAGTGTTTTTTTTCAAAACATGCATACGTCCGTCTGTTCGTCTACCGTCTGTCCGTCTACCGTCTGTCCGTCTACCGTCTGTCCGTCTACTGTCTGTCTGTGAACACTACGAGCGCCTAAACCATGCATAGGTTTTTTCCAAATTCAAGAAACTCCTATTTTCATTAAATTTCTTGTAAGAATAAAGTAATATACGCTTATAAATGTTGCATAGGTCCTATTATCACAGTGAACACTGAATATTCGAAAATTTAGAAGCATGATTTTTTTTTCGGGGTCTTCCTACAGCTATAAAATTGAAGATAGAAATTTGTCTTTCAGATAAAATTTGTTCTTCATAGTAAGTTCCTTCATTAGGGTCATGTACTTCTTTTGAAACTTTTAGCAGTTTTATTGCAATATTGCGTGCAATATGTGCAATTAAAAAAAAATTCAAAAACAAGCTTTTCTCAAAAACAGCTACAAATTTTTTCTTTAAACTTTTGGTAGGGATAGTGCTAAATGTACTCTATAAGACGACATAAACGCCATATTGTTCTATTCTTTTGTGTTTTAGAGAAGACTTTTTGTAAGAGGTTTTTCAGAAAAATTAGAATTTTCCGGAAATGTTGACATTGCTAATACCAAGGAGCCCCGAAAAAATTCAAAACCAGTAATCGAAGATTTAAAAAATGTATTTTCTGGTGAATCAAAAACATTCAAAATTATAAATCGAGTGCATTTCAGACTACATGCATGATTGCCGACAAAATGAATTGTCTTCTGTTATTCCTTCTGTGTAAGTAGATAACACGATGGACACTCCTCTGAAGTCTCAGTGTTCTGTAATAATGAAGTTCGTAGGTACTGACGTCGCTGTTGCGGATCGTTCATTGTTTCCATAATGTCACTGCTGAAATATCAGATACTTTGCTTTCTTTATTTTACAAACTCTTGGGACCATTTGACTATGAGTGAAAATTAAATGTTATGAATGTGCAAGCGTGATGTCTATGCATTCAAAGTGACTTACGGTAGAATTGAAAGAGATTGATCTCTTGCAGTATTTGTGTCCTGTTGCATACTATTTAAATTTAATGTTGCATCATGGTTATAAATTATGAAAACGTCTTTGCACTCATTACCGTAATTCCTAGCGTCTTCCGTTGAGCAGCGAAGAGAACCCGCGCAGTTTATTCTGCATCTGGATCATGCATTTCAACGTAACATCTGGCTGCAGGGGCTGAAAATCAGTCGAAATTATTGAGTGTAATTGTGGATGACTGGAAAAAACTTGATGTTCTTGAAACCGTAATTTACTCAACTTAATTTACTTCAACAGTCTGACAGTAAATTAATTCAACTTTCCAGAGATTTTCTTCAGATATGAATTTTCATTATAAGCAGTTTTGAATTCACATTTCTGGCAGTGTTTCAAAATATACATACGCAGATAACCTGTTTCACGTTTTCCAAAAGATATAATTGAATATAAACTACTATATATGAAAAATAAGAACTACTTGTGTTATAATAAGAACCAAAAGGAATGTACAGTATTTTTCTACTATTTTTAAAGGCTTGCAAAATTACCGATATGGACCTTGTGCAAATCCTTTTCTGAAGATCAATGTGTTCGAAGTTATCTAGCGTATTATAAAATTTCCGGCCATATTTTGATGAAAATGCATGAAAGATTTATCTATAGTGAAAAAATTCAATTTGTTTTCGTTGCTGATAGCATGAAAGTTGAAGAATACAATACATACAGTAGAACAAATAATTCAATAGTTTAAGAATACAATACATTATTGGTACAATTCGTGTAATTGAAAATCTGCAAAATTTATTTGAATTACTTAAAAACGAACTTTCAAATTTTATGTACCTATGGAAGGTACAGGTAGATCTTTCCAGAAAACATGTTCGAATTTCGTTGGTATAAAGACATTTTACATACGCTTACAAATTGTACTCCATTTTGTTCATCTCATCTATTGCAGTATCAGTGGAAAGACGCTTTCCCTACCTCAAACGCATAAACACATTCTTCAGAAATGTTACTTCAGAAGATAAACTTTCTTCTTTCAGAAATATAGCAATTCCAAAGGAACTGCTTCTGCAGTTAATAAAGTAACTGCCAGTCTACAGCCTATCTACGAGTCATTATAGACAAACTTACAGCCTTGAGGTACCGAAGGATTGATTTGGTATACAATCAATAGACAAGTTCAGATATGAAGATACGTATTTGTAAATTTATTTTGTTCACAGTAGCTCTTCAATTAACTTCATAGCCACGGGCCGCCATTGTATGAATACAGGAAAATACTTACCAAGACGTACAGTATTATTTGCTCAGTCGACACAATGTGTGTAAAATATCCCAGAGTAAGGGCATTTAAACATTTCGACATAATAAATTGCACTTCGCAGGTTGGGGAACAGTTGGCGCTAGACTACTTAAAATTAGTCGCAATCTACGACGCTGTGGAACTCGCTGCTCTATTTAGTTCAACTTCCTTCTAGCTCTTGTAGCGACCAGATGCTTGAAAACACTCGCATTCCGGAAGCCAAAGAATAGACAATCCCCGCCTCGCAGCACAAAGGGCGAGAGCGACACGTGCCGTTCTTTGCGTTGCAGACGCCTCGAAGGCCAAGGTCGCGAGCGACAGCCGAACAGCGCGCTAACTAGCCGAGGGCGGGACAACCGAGGCCCGGCTCCTCCCACGCAAAAGGACGGCGCGCTCCTACATAAGCCGTGCCCGCCGCCGGGAGGCCAACAGCAGCCATGTTCGTCCTGTGGAGCCTGCTGAGCGCGGCCGGCTGCTGCGCGCTGGGGGACGCGGCCCCCGCGGGGGACGTGCGTGCCTCCGCCAGTTCCTACGCCCTGCTGCCGCCCTCCTGCGACAGGTGAGCGCCGCCTCCCGCACTTGCTCGTGGCTGGGGTTCGGGCTACGGCTGTGTGCAGGGACTAATTAAATAACAACAATATACATTTCATTTCGCCGATATTCATATTTATTTTTTTCTGTATTTCGAGAAGAAATTTAAATTAAACAATAATTGAGCGAACAATTGTTTTATTAAGCTGAGCTAATAATCTACATTAATTAATTGGTGAACGTCTAGTTTAGTATTATAAAACGCGTGCGATCATGTTCAGCGTCGCTGTGAATATCCGTATCAATAAATCGTCTTTCATTTACATTTTGCTTTTAAATGTTATTTACTTATAAATTAAACAGTTTCATGCCTAAAATCACGAATCATATCACTCGAACCACCTTTCAAAAAGAAACAGTATTTCCCATTTATTGTATACAAATGATACATGGTACTAAAATTTCAAAATATAAAACAAAATCCAAGCAACTGCAATATATTTATATACATATATTATATTTATAAGTCAGTCATGAAATATATTATATATGCAATACAGATTACTAAAAAGTAAATTGTTTAATACAAGTTTAATACATTTTTTTAATTAATATTATTTATCGGACACATGCATCTTTAACCCTTATTAACATACAACCCTATAAATTTGTGCTTTAAGAGGAAAATACACAAAAACTTTTCCCTATTTTGGAATGAAATGAGCTCATGTAAAAAAATTAAAATTTGTTTTAAATTTTACCCTTAATGCTCATTACAAAAGTTTTACCAGAGTCAGAAACTCATTGTCAGGCCAATGCGCTAATTAAAAAAATTAAAACAAGAGTTGTGGTGTTTTCTTGAAGGCCCAAAGCGTGATATATAAATTTCAGAGTTTATATCATACATTAACTGCACTGAATTATTACCCTCATGCCTTTATTTTGTTGGATATGGGATTTCATCATTTCATTGTCACACAGTAATCAGAATGTGGAGCAACGACGGATTTATATATCAAACATCTTGTATAGCCAATTTTACATATGATCCGACACTGTTTACAATATTAATCTTTTTCTGTTTTCGTTACTATTACTCTATGTATTCTTTAAAATAAATTCATTACAGATTATTACTCCCAAAAAATTTAATTTTGTATACTGTTAATTTCCTTTAAGTCAGAGGTGAATAATATAATTTCTCTCCATTCTATATTTCTCAAACTATGTAAAATTACAAATCAAGTTTTTTCAACATTCATTATTAACTTGTTTACACTTAATCAATTTTAGTATTGCAATAAATTCCTTTCAGATTAATTAAATTCCCGCTTCTGTTTCTCCAATTATATACAATAAACTATCGTTAGCAAGCAATTCAATTTTACAGACATTACCGAAAAGGTTTCCATCTATCTGTCCGTCCATCTGTGGTCAACCATTCGGCCAACGAGTATAAAATTGATATTCCCTATCGATTAAAATGATCTCCAGGCTCTCTGAGATTGAAAAAGGTTTATTTGGATTTCGGGGGTACTTTAAACAAAGCCGCTTTAAACGAAATATTTCCAAACATTGCTCCGTTGGAAATTGAATTTTTTATTACAATTTGTGCTCGGATAGCGTAAAGACTGACAAGAAGATGGTATCAATTAAGTTCAAATCCCTTTCTTTTCGAAAATTTCAAAAATTCAAAATAGAGATTTTTTGAATTTTCTTGATTTTTCTGTCTTTTAAAGAAATCTTGAAGTTTATACGTAATTTTTTTAAATGCGTGTAGGTTTTGCGTACTTTTTGGTGAACTATAGGCACTACTTAAACAATTATGTTTTCAATGACTCTCGAACTTTTTCTGTATTTTTTCCCTCATATGTATGAAAGGACGGTAAGTTTGTGATTGTGAAAATTATGATAGTTCCATGATTGTCCAACTTTCAAAATGGCAAACAATTAATTGCAGAAGTATAACATTAAAGATGAGAGATTTTGTCTTAATTTAGTTCTAATCTAAAAATATATATCTAAAAAAGATACGTTTTTTGCGTATTTTCTGCTTGAATTTAGTGCAATATGTAAAATAATTTACATTAAGTTTACTAAAATGTATGATTTCCTACAAATTACAACTTTACAAAGCACTCAGCACACTTTCTTGTTAATAAATTGTGCATAAAAATGTTATTATAATAAGAACATATAGGCGAAATAAATTGTCGGACCACGATGGCCTAGCGCATAAACACATTCAGCGATGACAGTTTTTGGGGGAAATGCACGTGATGCATAGATCGCACTGGCATTGCACATTTTCCTCGAGTCCATAGTTGCAACAAGAGAAGTGCAACTACAGATCCGGGCTAAATTTTTACTACTAAATCTACTAAATTTTTAAACATTCTACAACGGGAATAAAGTTATTACAATACTTTAATGGTGCAATTAATAAATAAAAAAATATTTTATGCCACACAATTTTAAAATGTTGGCACAAGATTTGGAGGGTTTCTTCCCCAAATTCCTTATAACAATTCTCCGAATTCACAAGTTAATAAAGGGAGATAATCATGGATTCATCTTATTCACATTAATATTTTATCACGAAAAACTATGTGGTCTCTATCAACATTTCCAGAAGGGAGCACAATCACTACTCTTCGCCTTCGTATAAGGTCAGGTCTGAAACCAAGCTTTGTTTTTTTTTATACTTTGAGATGATAGAGCCAGTGATAGTGTTTAACAATTATATTTAATAAAAAGCAAAAGTTTCTTTTTGGATAATACATTAGCATGTGATGTGTATTTAATTATCTATTTTGTTCTATATGATTTTTGTTAGATAACTGCGATTCAACTTTTAACAATGTTTATTTCATATAAGCTACAGTTATAAATTTATGTTTGAGTAATAAATTAGTATTATATTATGTTGTATGTAGTATTATTTTAATACCTATTTTATTTGAAGATTTGGCATGATTGGAAAATTGAGATTCAGTCTGTAACAATATTTAGTTAATCAACGGCAACAGTAATAAATTTTATTATGGAGTTATAAATTAGTATTGAATGCGGATTTAATAATTAATTTGGTTTTGTTTAATTGTGCTCAATAATTCCCTCTATTATCATTTTTGAAATTCTGGTATGGTTGGATAACTATGATTCAGTATTTAACAAAATTTATGCAATAAATCGGTAATACAATTTAATACAATTTTCTTTGGGTTAATAAAATTAGTATTGAATGTGTATTTAATTGTCTATTGGGTTTCATTTGTTTGTGAAAGTTCGTACTCTTAATATAAAACTTGTATTCCGTGAGTGCTTGCATAACTATGCCGCTTTTAACGTTATTTATTTAATAAATGACAACAGCAATATATTTCATTTTCGTGAAATAAATTAGTAATACATACGTAAAAATATTCATATCATTCGAGATTATAGTATAAGTTGTGTACATTTGATTGTCTTAGTTTTTCAGTCACGCCAGCACAGCATTAATTCATAAACGGCAAGAGCAACAAATTTAATTTTGGGTAATAAATTAGTAATAAATGAGTACTAAAAATTCCATTTTATTTAATGCGATTGTGCTACAACGGTTGTACCATCTTCACAAACCCCGTGCCGTCTGCGTTTGTGCACTTTTTAATTTAGTGTACTGCTGCTTAGTTGTATATTACATTGTACTGGCGGAAATAAATTATATCAAAGTTTCGATGGAAAGACCATGTTTTAAACTGGCATATTTGATCATTTAAAAATACTTCATCCTTGCGGCCATGTGACACCGTTTCAGAAACGTTATCGAAGAAAAATAAGATTTCAAAATATAATAAACTGCTTGTTCAATATACATCGAATACTATTTTGCGTACAAATCATAGTGCTTCATTTCAGCCAAATCTACTGCCAAGGCGACCTTCTGCGCGTGGTCCAGAACGCTCATCTCTACACCGACTCCAAGACGTTTATCGACAAGAAACTCCTGCAGTCGCCCGCCGAAAATCCAGCGCAACGCCATTGGTCCAGCCGAAGCCACTGCCACGGTGTTGTACTCTCTCCGCCTCCACCGTACTGGCCGAACAACTCTCGGGTGCGTACTGTAGGGACAAAGCGACATGTAGACTGGTCTATCTCCCGACACTCCGTCCCGCCGCTGCAGCTGAAGGGGCACTCACCTTCTCGAACATTCTACCGAGTTCCTGGAAGGCCATTGAAGTTGGAGGCGATTCCAGTTGCTTGCGCCAGCTCCGAAGGCAGCTGCCTCCTGCGCGCTGGCTCCTGCGTGTTCCTGGAGGCGCGCGGATGACGGATGGTGCTTGTGAGGGAGGCCCACGCGTTGGGCAGGTCCCACTGCTGGCCCGCTGTTCATTCAGCGTGTTCGGGAGCCGGCCCGGGAACGACAGCAGTCGAGGCCTTGAGGTAGGCCGCCGCCTCTGCGCGATCTGCTCCGTGCTCTCGGCCTGCCGGCAACATCACAAACGGGTTAGCAACCGCTTCTCGAAGACCTACACAGCTACCGGCTACCTTCACGGAGAACGCACGCGGTGTAGGCCTGGTCCACAGAGGAAGGGCCATGTTGGCAAGGATAGAAGTACGTGCGCTGCTTCGTTGTGAAGAAGATCGTAAGTGCCAAACAGGTGAGCCTAATTCGTCGTTCCACAGCCACCGCCGTAATCGCTTTCTGGGCTGCGTTCGCAATCTAGCTTTGTAAGAGGCGGCTTTGTCAACATCACCCAACTCGCTGTGCAGCTGGACAGGAGGTCAGCGTGATAGTACACGAAGGCGTCTTGATGTCCACCGGCGTACGAATGTTATTTGGTGTGGATGGCCGTCAGATTGCCTGGCCCATTTTGTTGGTGAGGAAAAGGGGCATGGGGCTTGGGAAGTAAAGCGCGAGCGGAGGAAAGCGCTTGTACCTTCGTCGGTGCCGTCAGTTAATGAACCAGCGGCTGGAGAAATCCCACCGGACTCGGCCGGCCGACTTTGAGTGTCGAACGTAGAACTTCTTCCTTCCGGTCCTCGTCGGCGAAGATCTCGCCGTTGGTGTAGTCTTCCCTGCGAACCAATTGGGACAAGTCACCACCTACCTCCATCGAGCATGCATTCATTCGTCGTCAAGAGCATGAGAGCGTAACCAGTAGGACTCGGGCGCGGTGGCCCTTGGACGGGGCGTAGTAGTGGCGCAGGGTGTAGGTTTGCCGTCCTTGTTCACTTGCACGCGTGCGGTTCTTCAACCAGAAATCAGTCGCGCTGCCAAGCAAGGCGAAGTGTCGCGCACGAAGGCCCGCGTCCCTTGGTGGCCTGGTAAGTACTCGTGACCATGGGCGTGGAGCACGGGGGCTTGCGTTGCGTTGCATGGTAGTAGAGCGCCGCGCCGTTGGATGATTGCCGTAGTTGTCGAGCAGGCGAAAGAAGTTCTCCAAGATGCCCTTGATGGTGGAGGTCATGTTCGTCTGAGGGATGAGGCGCCGCACCACCCAGTACGTTGTCCCAGTAGTAGAGCTCCCGGAAGGCGGCCGCCAGGGCACCACGAGTAGGTTGGGCACGTAAATGATGCATACGGTCGCCTGTGGTCCTTGATGGTGTCGTTGACCTTGGGCTGAGGCTCTTCCAGATGACGTTATGAGCTGCGAGGCCAGTCGCGCAGTGCGGGTCGGCCGATGCGGCCAGGCAGAGCGGGCTAGCTCCCACCAGTCCTCCAGGTCCGACGGCCACCAGCTCGTCTCCTGTCGGCCGAATCGCGCGTCGACGAAGCTCTGGGATCTTGGGCGTGGTGGTGGGCGCGTTCTTGTTAGGTCTGCATGAAGGCATCGAAATCTGCCAGCGTTCGGCGTGGGCGACTGAGGAGTTTCTTGGTCGAATAAATCGTCTTGAGTAGGTGTAGAGATGAGCGTTCTGGATCACGCGCAGGAGTCTCCCTGGCAGTAGATTTGGTCGAAAAAAAAATCATTTACAAAATGTACTGCAACCGAAAAGCGATGTGTTTCTTTGGGAATTAATTTTTTAATTCATGTGCAGGGGGGTCCACTTTGAAAGGGGCAGTTTTTGTTGAATAACGGCGTTCAAAAGTCGATTTTTTCGTTATTTATTTAAACGCAACTGAAATTTAAGGGTGATTTTTTATGGCTTATATATTCGTTTAGGTTTATTTTTCTATTTAATACCGCTACGTTTTCTTCTCCCAAATTTGCTTAGTACTTGTTGCTGGTACTAAAAATATCATATTCCTGTTTCTTATGGTCCTCTCTTTTGAAAAATCTGTCTCTATCGTAACAAATTGAGAAGAATTTTTTGCCGAGATGCCTACTTATTGGTTTTTATTTTTGTTGCTTTACTGCACTACGTAATATTGGGTCGGAATGACAATTTTCGACAGAAAACCCTTACTTGTCAAACCGAAAAAAGGTAAATCTCGTTTTTCTGTGTAGTAAATTGCTTTCTCTCACTTGACCTCTAACTTCCGCGATTTTTGGGCGTCTCTGATAAAACTTTTTTCTGAGGTAAGAAAATGATTGACGTCGTGTTTGGCATCTATAACCTAACCCTAACGCCGAAAAACGCTGAGACGGTTTTATCCAAAAATGTAATGTTTCCTAATGAATCTAAACGACCTTGAAGGAGCTATGAATTTTAAAATGGATATTTCCACTTCGCGCTTGTTATGAAGCGTAACACTTTGCAAATGCTATTTCAAAAATGGGTGCAATTTTTTTTAATAAACTTGAACTCGGAGGGATTGAAAACGCTTAAAAAATCGTTTAAGCCTTCATTTTCCCCTTTAGAATAAACTGAATTTTCAAAAATTCAAACTTCTATTCATTTTCCGCATCTTCGCAACAATAATGATAGAAATGTTTAATAAAATCTCTTCAGGGACAGCCCGTTGAAGAACGGTTCAACAATAAAATGTTGCCCGAAAAATGATCCTTTTTGTGCAAGTTTGTTGTGAAAAATTAGAGAATTTTTCCAATTGTTTTTCATGAAAAGCTCTACATTTTTTCTTTTGAAAACAGAGCAAAAGTACTGTTATAAAAATGCACAAGCCCGGTTTCGATAAATTCTCTGCTATATTAGAAACTTGCAAGAAACGTATAATACTGATATAATGTTTAATGATAATGTGATCTCTAAAACCAGCTTTCAGTTTCTTCTGATTTTACATATTTATTTGTTATTACTTACTTTCATTTGTAAGAAAAAAACTGTCTCAATGCAGGTTTCATTGTAATGTAAACGAGTGAGTAGCGGCTCCAAACCATACCTAGAGCGACATTTTGTAATAAAATATAAAAATATGTCGACCGGAAATAAAATAGGTAGTAAAGGAAAATACGAAAGGATATAAATCAGAATTTGAGATATCTGGATGACCCGCAAGGCGTCATTTAAAACAGTCAGAAAAGAAGGAGTTGTAATAAATATTTTTTAAATACTAGAAAAATAATTTTTATAAATATCATTTTATAAAAAAATGCGAAATTTGTTAGGATACACAACGAGATATGCCAGATCTAGCTTTAAGTTACAAGGGGTTTAAAGGAAGTCCTAAGCATCTATGGTTGGCAGTCAACGATAGTGGCAGTAAGGAATTAGCAGATTAACGACCTGGAGCTGCATTGCAATGGAAAACTTTTTACGATCAAGGAATACTGTCTCCATGTGGATAGCGAGCAGAAGACGTACACGGTCCCCGTGGACATGATGACAATAAATGGGCATGCTTGAGGAAAAGTTTTAAGTTTTAGAATTTGTGTTGGATGTGGTTAAGAGGGATATGATTATATCATCTTTTCTGCTTTCCTATAGATCCAAATTCCACAGCGGGACAGGGAACCCTACTCCGTGCGTAAAAAGGCTCTTAAGGGTAGTTTAAAAAAAAACGGGAAGCAACCGATTTAAGACCCGCAAATGTTCCACTAGTATGCAACATGTAGCATAAATCAATCAGGAATTACCGCCCAATTACCCTCCGTCTATTCGAAGACCCAAAGTTCAACAGGTCCCCTGCAGGAAAGGCGCCGTAGCACGGTTAGAAAAACATACGTTTTGCAGAAAACAACTTCTCAGCCACGACAACACGTACCCCAACTTCTTGGAGGCGCCTCGATCAAACGCTGGCGTGGTCAGCAGTTCTAAGCGGTGTGCCATCTAACAACCTGTGGAAATTCTAACAAAGTAATAGAAGCGCGCTCTGCATCGACATCACAGTGGCACGACTGCGTCCCCCGCCATGGACGAATGTATTTTCTCATTGCCAATAAGGGAAAGGCAGTGTTTCTTAGATC